ACCCGTGCAGGCAAGGCAATTTTGATGCCGCAGCAGAGCTCAACGCTTTGTTCTCCAAGGAACGTCAGCAGCCACCGCGACATTTTTGGCAATCCTCTTGCCTTGCTATAGAGTGTAGAGTAATTTCTGCTGGATTGGGACCTCGGGAGGTTATCCAGCCTGGCTCCCATTCACAGCAGGGCTGTGGGGATTGCACTCTTTAAGCAGCTGCAGAGGGTTGCATGGTGTTGGACACCAGCTCATCCCACCACTGGACACCCCACGCAGTTCTGACTTCACCCCACAAGCTGGGGGGGGTCACTTCCCACATTGCATGAGCCCATTCCTCTTGGCAGAAGTGCTACGTGACGAGGCTGGGCTAGAGCCCGTGAGGTGTGAGCCAGCTGCCCCGTGCCAAAACCATCGCATCGTTCCTCTTTATCATCATCTTGTCAGGAGGGCGAAGGGGCGATGCTGAAGGACCAGTTGTTCTGGAGTGTAATGTGAGGCCACACACTTGTCCAGACTCGGATTCCTGAGAGTTACATGGGATGTGGCACAGAAATCACAGCGTACGTCTACTCTTCCAGGAAAAAAAGCAGATTATTGTCCTTACGTAAAAATGTTCATGTAAGCTGGAGCCAGTATTTTGAAGAATCATGTTTCCTAGAAAAGTTATGCTGATCTGTACAACTTGAGTTAGGTTTGGAAATGGCTCGTATTCAGGTCAGGATTTTGGTCTGGTTTTCTAGTCCAGGATTAGATGCTAAACCTTGGTCTGTCCCTCCCAGCCTGCAGAGAGGTTTAGGCTGGGAGCTCTCCCCATCGGCAGCCAGGGCTCTGGGCCGCCTTGTGCCATGGCTCCGGGGGCAACACCTTGCCAAAATGAGGGGACCGGCCGGCTGTGCCCCAACATCACAGCCAGGACTGCCCCCACTGAAGCTTTTCTGCTTTGCCAGACCTCTGGCAACATCACTGGGGAGCAGGAGGGAGCGCGGTACTTGGTACCCCGAGAGGGCTCAGTGTCTGTACGGGCAGGGTCGAGACTTGTCGCTCCTTTCCTCCACCAAACTCTGCCCAGAGAACAGGATTCCTCTTCAGCAAAGGTGAACTCACCTCCTCACCATGGGGAGATGACGACATCTTTTGTCCCGAAGGTCGGGCGAGACAGAAAGCAGATTGCTCCCTGGCGGAGAGGATGCTCGGCCAAATCCCGGTGCTGAGGCTGAGGAGGACGTTTGCAGCCCAGCCGAGAAGATGCAGCGCAGCAGAAGCTCCTGACCACATTCCCTGTTCAGAGGGCAGTGGCTATTTAAACCTAGAGTGTTTCAATATGTGTCATTTTAAAAAGGACCAATAAAAACTATTTATATATTTGCTCGAGAAGAAAATTAGCAACAGTGGGACTTTTTTTTTTTAATTTCCCTGCTCTCATCATAACTAGATTGATGATTTCTGAGTTTCTCCTTTTAGGAGGTTTCCTAGAATAAGTTGCCAGCTGAAATTATCTTTTATTTTAATCCAAGTTTTAATTTAAGACAGGAGAAGTGTGGATAAGCTTCTTATTTTAAGCAATTAGTTTCTGGCACGGAACTAGGAGTCTCTCTAACGACGTAGCTATGCAATTCCATATTGTTTCCATCACGCTGAGATCGAGAGGTGGGACAGAAGCGACTGATGGCAGCAAAGCACTGGTGACAAAGCCATGAGACTGCAGGTGAAATCTAACTGAAACTTGGCATCAGGATTAAGAAATACGGGCTATTTTGTCTGGGAAATATATTTTTAATGGCCAACACTGAACTGCAGTGACATGCCTCGGTCGGTGTTTAGTTTAGGATGTAATTCTGGGACTCAAGACCATAAATCCACAAGTTCACACCTATGAATTAACTTCAGTGGTGTGTCCTGCAGGTAAAGGAAGAATTTATTGGTCCAGGGATTGAAAATTAAATGACTGATACCTCCTTTCCTTGTCTGCCAGAGAGGCCGTGGAAATTTCCCACCCTAAGTCTTTTTTTACCCTTGCACTGCTGCCTTTAAATCGAGGTTTGCCTCCAGGGCTTCATTTAGATCCAGTGGCAGCGGAGGTGTCGGCAGTCTGGTCTGCAAATCTGTGTCATTTATATGGACACAATACACAATTTACTGTCAAATTCTAATGATGTTGTGTTATTGGCACAAGGCACACACGAATGACGGGGAGCGGGACGGAGCTCTGTGCTCTTCCCGGCCAGGCAACCTACATGGATGCCCATAGACTTGCCTGGATGGACTGGTCCCAGATGGGCTTTTGGCATTTTCTGTAACTAAATTTGGCTTTAACACAGTTGTTCAGATCATTTTGCTGCCTTCTGTGATCTAACGCTTCATCTCCACATTTTAGCCAGTACAGGAATTTTCAGGAATTTGAGCATTTCAGCACCGTGAGCGTCGGGAAGCCTGGAGCTGGTTAAGGCATCACACGGGCCGTTGACAAAGGTCTTCTCTTTCCCCTCTGGCATCATTAGTGTCAATGCAAATTTATCTTTTAGATCTACAAACCTGTGGCTGGCTTTAAAGCCTTCCCTGATTTTCCACCATCCAGGAATGCTTCAGCAAACCGCTTTGTTCTCGGCTGCTGGCCGCGTGGCACTTCTTCCTCTTCCAGTCGGCTTGGGAATGCTGGAAATAAAATATTGTCTTTTTCAGACCAAGACTTGCTGACCTTCCAGGGCATGGGTGCTAGGTCAGTTGTTTGACACGCAGCAAGAGGTCCCCGGGGCAGGAGGTCTCCAGGCCTGGAGGAAGGCTCCAACCCATCAGCGTTGGGAGGAACCAGGTCTCAGGAGATACTGGAGACCCTCGAGCAAAGCCAAGCAAACATACACGAACTCCTGCAGGAGCAGGAGAACGTAAGGAAGGAATTAGCAGTTTTGTTTCACTGTCTCAAAGAGGATTTTGGGGAAAATGCGGAGAGTTGGAAAAGATGTGATTTGGGATTGGTCCATCTGGTGCTCAGTGGCTGAGGAGGAGGAGTAGGACAGCTGGGCAGTACAAGCAGGAAAACAAGGACCTCTCTAGGCTCAAGATATGGAAAGGTGGTTTCAGGACTACGGGTGGCACCAGGGAGGTACATCAACCCTGCCACCAGAAGGTGACCGTCAGAACCTGGTCACCTTGGATTAATCCTGTCCCAAACCAATTTTGAGCTTGTTTGCTATTATTTCCCACCCTGCACCCGCTGCACCCTGCCCATACGTGACTGCAGAAGGAGCCGCAGAAGGTTCCAGCATCTTTCTGCTCATCTCTTGGTGCACCATTGGCCCCCATAAACATCATCGTCGGGTCTGGGAAATTGTTAAAAATAATACGAAAAAACCCCAAGAAACCAAAAAGCAAAGAAACACAGACATCCCCACAAGTTCAGGCAACTAGAAAGGGGGACACAGAAGCAGCAAACAGCCTTTCCAAGTTCAGCCCGATTTTCATTTCAACGCACTGGCACCGTTCCAATGTCCACGGTGCTTCTCCGCAAAAGGTTTGATGGTGCTTTGCTGGCTCATGTTGAGAAACAAGCTCTCTGGAGCTCTGGCTGCTGCTGCGAGGGACCAAGCAGCCCTTTGCTCTGGCCTGGCAGCAGAACTCCAGCACTCCCGTGGTATCATAAACTCGTTTTTCCTCATTCTAATTCACATAAACGCTGGTTACCAAACGTTAGCATCTTACCTGTCGGTGTAACAAATTACCGAGCTCCGGAGAGACAAACACCAGCAACGCTGCAAGTTGGGAACCTTCAGGATGGTGGAAAAATCAGGCTGCACCCCAATGGAGAACCACGATACGAGACACGAACGTCGCGGTGACGGCCGGGAACAGGCTCAGCAGCACCATCTTTCCTGGATCAACTTTAATCTGAGTTTATTTCCCAGGTCACTCCTCCCGATCCAGGCTCCTCAAGAGCTCCTGGTGAGCCGGGGCAGGTCCTCCTGCCAAAGCCACAGCCCAAACTCACCCAGCCAACACCACAGAAAGTCGACGAGAATATTTCCAATTATATTTCCGATTATATTGCCATGCTCTGCAAGGAACCTTCAAAAAAAGCAGTGGGCTCCCTCTGCTACAGAGTGGAAAGCACATATTACAGTAAAAAGCATTATGGTTAATTTTTCTCCCTTCATCTTAACTCACTCTTTCTTTGGCAACAACTTTTATGCAAAAGATAAGTTTTTCTAGGTTGGGAAATTTCAGATTTTATTTCTATTTAGCCTCAAATGATCCCCAAGCTCATTTCTTCACTTGCAGACTTTTTCCCCACTCTCTCTCTTTTTTTTTTTTTGCTTTCAGTCTTTCCTACAGTACTTCCTCCACTTTGGAATCACTTGAGAGTGACAACAATATTGAACAAACTGGGAATTTTCCAGTTTTGGCGAAAATTTGGAAAGTTACAGAACAGAGAAGTCAAAAAAGAAAAAGAAAGAAAACCATTTTTTTTCTTTAAAATACATTGACTTGCAAAGGGGAGAAAAAGCAGGAAAAAGGGGGAAATCAAAGCAGTTAAATATTTAAAATTATTTTTCTGCTCAATTTCAAACCTGAAATAAGGAACAAATCTGTTTTTTTTTTTCCACAGACACATGAGAACAATAAAAGGATAAAGTACACTGAGATTAAATAAGAAGGAAAAATATCTTTTTATACAGACAGAAAGTGACTGAGGAAAGCAGGACGCCCTTACATTCTCGAACACTCTTGGCAGCATCTACAGCCACCGAGAGCTTGTGCATCGCGGAGGCAGAGGCTGAGGGGGTGGGATCTGGGTTTGCTGGTCTCCTGGCTTGCAGGGCGTGGTGGCACTCCCTCACCTGGTCACCTTGGCAATGCCTTGGACCTCTGGCACTGCACGAAGCTCTCCCGGTGGCCCATACTAACACATGGTCCTCCCCCACAGTTTCCCACGATCCACAAGCTGGCAGCACTTCTGGAGGGTAGAACAGGTCCCCGTGTGGGTTGCTGGTGAGGCCCTGGAGGTCCCAGCAGCTCTACAAGTAGGTGGTGGCCTCTTGGCTCTCCCGCTCCCTGGCCTGTGCAACGGCGACGTTGATGCACTGAAGCCACTCCTCAGCGTTCTTCTCGTCTTTGGCTTTGAAGACATAGGTCTTGCTGTCGGTGAAGATCTCGAAGGCCCGGGGCAGGCTGCGGTCCCTGCGCTTCTTTGCCACCACCTTAACGCTCTGCACCTTGCTGAGCTCGATGGGGCAGTCGTCGGGGTCATCTTTCTGAAACACAGGGAAGACAGAACCAAGCTCGTCTGGTAGAACTTGCACCCTCTTAATAAACTGTTGGTGTCTCCAGAGCTGGGCCTGGAAACATCGCTCACGCGGGCAAACGCACCGATGGGGACATCCCAAAAGAGCCTCAGGGGAGTTAGAAATCCCATCCCACCCTGCCCTACCGAGCACCATCGGGTTTCATGGGCTGTTGTGGTCTACTGCACCCAACGGCCAAGGGTCCCCATGGATGCCCATGAGCTTTTCCTTCTCAGCACCCGCAGTCTGAAGTTCCAGCTTCAGCTTGGATGGGCTTGGATTTCTCCTTTCTCTGGCTTTTAATAACGGTGACCTCTGGCAACGGTGCCAGGCACCGCAGATGCTTCCCAGGTACAAACATCAGCCAGTGCTGGGGGACTCAAGAAATTTCTCTTAAGCAACGAGAAGCTGTCCCCCTTCCTAGAGCCTACACCCCAAAATGGAAGCAGCAACTCCTTTTGTGGGGTTTGAAAACAGGGCAGAAAAATGCAGCTTTTCACCCGGAGAGGTTGGCACGAGCCCCATGGCGGGGGCCAGCAGCTGGATGGGAAGACAGACCTCCTCCAGGACATGGGAGGTCCTGGGTTGCAAATGGCAGTGCCAGCACCGAGCTGTCACCTGCCCCATCCCCAGGTGCTGCTGCTGCTCCTTCTGGGACCACACATTTCTTGGTCTCATTCATTTTTGTTTCGGTGACCCTATCCCAGATCTGGGAAAGTTTCTTTAAATGAGTAACTACCCACTAAAATATTCAGTTCCAACCAAACAATGAAGTTCATCTCCAGCTTCACGTGGGGACAAACACTTCCAGAGCCATCGCTGGTGCATGGCCACGGGACCACCACAGTGACCCACCCTCCCCTGCTTCCACGAACACCAGTTAAAGCCTTTTTGACACAATTAGGCTGGTTCTGCACTGAAATCTGGCCTGGGGTAACCATCAGGGAAATCTCACAGAAAATGCCAAGCAATGACAGGCTTGAGAACAAAAACTTTGCACCCCACGAGCCAGACCCTCGCACTTTGAAGCCCATCTAGCAGAAACGATACACTCCTTCTGTTACCACACAGCGCTTGACCTCAGGTCGCTAAGAAAAGTTGATTTCACCCTCGGCACGATTCTGTGGAAGGAGTTACCACAGTTTTCCAGGAGTTCAGCACGTGGCTCTTTTTCAGACCTCTTGTATTTTGCTTTCCTCCTGCCTCCCCTTTTACCCCCCGGCCGTACGGTTGCTCACACAGAGCAAATATTGTCCACACAGTGACTCTGGCAGAGGGAAGGTTCATGGTGGGGCTCCAGAAATAAGCAGGCACGGCCAGCTGGCCACCTCACAATACCTCCTCTATGTTCCGTTTGTGTTTTTAAGGCAAGTCCAAACACCCACGCAGCACCCAGCCCTGCTCCACCACGCCAGAGGTGCCGGGGCAGAGCTGTCGCACCCGGCCAGGCGAGCGCCATCTGGCCACAGAGACCAAAACGAGCACCAGGAGGAGCTGGGCAGGAGCATCTGCCATGGTTTTAGTTGGCCACAGCAGCCTGCAGCCCTGCATCTTAAGATGCTTTCAGCACCCACGCCCAGCCAGTGAGGTGTGATGCTGCAGAGTGGACCTCCTGTGGGACCTGAATAATCACATTTTTATTCCCTGAACTGCTCATGCGAGGTTTCAGACCTCCAGCCCTGCTTAAAGGGCTTACAATTTTGCATTTGGTGCCTGCAACGGTCAGCTCTGGGGCACCTGTGCAACCTTAGCTGGTGGGCCCAGGGCTGCACCAGGCTGCAAACCCACGCGATGGTTAACGGCAGGACCCGGCTCTCCAATTTAGGCCCCAAAAGAAAAAAAAATAACAGAATATAACGACCGATTACCCAGGCGCAATCACCCCGCCGCCGTCCCCGGGGGGCTGGACGCCAGCCTGCCACGCTGACGAACCAGCCTAGGTATTTGCGGTCAACTTATAAAAAAAAAACAGCAAAGAAGCCTCGAATTTGCCAGTTAAAAACGGAAAGTTAGATTTACGCTGTTGAGCAAAATGTGCTGCTCAACCATCTAATTTGTCAGCTTCGGCAATTGACCTGCTAAAAAAATGAGAATTATTCCAACCCTCTTTCAAAACTGAGCACCAGCTGGTACTGAGCTGTAGCTACGGTAGCTGCGTGGATTAAACCGTTCTCAGAATCTGTCGAAACATCAGAAAAAGTCACGAGAAAGTAAGGAAAAGGCTGCTGCCCGAACTACCCGCTTTCAAAAGGATTGTGTTGTCCCACGAAAAGCACGTGTTCCTCCCGGGCAGGACACCCTGTTTGGCTATAATAGGAAGAAAACGCTCTTTTTGGATTATCTATTTATTTATAATAAAAATAAACACACTACTTTGCAGCGTGTTTGATGATTCATGTTGCAAAAAGAGGAAGAAAATCGGTTTCTAATCACTGAGAAGCACTAGCGGGCCAGGACTGGATTCAATTACCTGCTCTTCCACGCCCTGGGACACACTTGTCTCTGAGTCCTATCGGTACCAATTTTAAACAATTTCACAGAAATTTCAGCAGAATTTGCTTTAAAGACCCCTGTATTTCCTGCACGAATAACACCAATTATGAAAACGGAACGAGGGAATTTAACCATGCGGAGACCGCGGCAACGCCGAGCGGTTAAAAACCTCTGGGAGATGGTGTCGGGGAGGAGGTAAAGAGAGAAATCAAAGGGGCGGTCTTTCGACTTACGGATTTTCCTTTCCGAAAAAGCAGCTGGTTGCCAGCCAGAGTGAAGTAGCGAGTTTTCCACCTCTTGATAAACTTCCACCGGACTTGCTTCTCTTTAAGCTTGCCTTCCATCAGAGGTTGGCCGTCCTGATTTACAACTGGGGAGAGGGGAACACACAATGGGGGGGTTATTTCTGCCCTCCCTTTCCCCCCAGCCACAAGCCAGGCTTTTTGCTGCAGAGCAGGGAGGGTTTTTTTTAATTATTTTTTTTTGCATCAGCTCCAAGACCAGTTTTGCCTCCTGAGCTCCAGCATTCAGCTGTCATTTTGGAGACACCTCTCAGGTGGGGCTCTGCTCTCCATCACCCTTTCTATTCCCTTATCCATCCCGTACTTCTCCCCACCGTTATGCCTCCCAGTTGTTCCTCAGCCCTGCAATAATGATTTATAACCTTGGGCAATTAAAAACAGGCATTTGTGAACTTCTAACCCAAAACATTCTAGGGCTTTACGTTGTCTCCGAGCTTTAATCCACGCTCTGGAGTTCTGTGCAACAGGCATCACTGCTCCCTTCCTCACCCTCCCGAGACACAGCTCCTCCTTCCCTTGGGAAAAGGACGTGTTTGTTATCAGCCCTCCCTTACCCAACACTGGAGCAATAGCCCCGCGTTTTGTAGAGCTCAGTCCCTGCTACAGCTTCATCCTCTTTTCTAGTTCTTTCTTTAGGGATATTTCAAAAGTCTGGTAAAGTTAGCGACCCATTTTGTGAAAAATAATCCTTACGACAAACCCAGAGGCACTCACATCCTGTAAATCTCCCAGCACCAACCGGTTGGGAGTGTGATGTTTCCTATCACTGCCATGTTTCTAAAACAATAATTTAATCTGACATCTGGACTGCAAAGGCCAGAGCAGCTCACGGCTCAGCGCCTAGGGACAGACCCAGTGTTTGCCGTGCTCCCTCAGGAAAAACTGGGGCTTTTTTCCTCATGTTATCCATTGAAGACATATTTTACCACCGCTAATGCCGTCTTTACGGAGCCCACTTTAAATACCAGGTGGGTAAAACTCTGCCCAAGCCCAAGATGAGGAAGGAGGAGAGATGCAAAAGCTCCTGTTGCCTTGATGACCTGAGCTACAGCGCAAGAGCAATCTAAAATGTAATTAAAAATACATAGTTTGCAGTATAGAGTTCAATAATGGCTGCGATTGTTACGGGAGCAGAAACACAGGCACGCTCCGCGTCCTTACCCGCGGCTCAGCCCCTTCCCAGTCCCTCCATCTTCCTTAGTGGGCTGGAGAGTGACTCTAGCTTGCTTTAGAAAAATAACTCATGTTTGTCACTATAGATTTTCCTTCAGTCAATTCCCTTACATGAGTAAAACCCAGATTAAGTCTCTAAGGAAAAGGAAAGAAATGCTTTTCCTCTCTTATTGCAAAGTTATTGCTATATTCAGAATTAATTTCAGAATTCAAATCACTAGGCAAATAGCGGGGAGATCAGCGACCAAGGGCATCACCATGGGCTTTGAACCACGACCGCAGAGCAACCTCAAGCCACTGCCCATGGAGCAAAAACTGGACAGATCCTTTAATGCCACAGCTGCTTTTCTTTTTCCTTTCTATTTTTACACCAACAGACAGGACGCAATGGATCGGATGGGCCGCGGAGCGAGCCAAGGCACGAGCAGCCTGAGAATGGATGGTTTTTTTGATGGGATGTTTGCCTTGAAGCCCTTCCCAGCATCTGTCAGATGGGCAGTTATCCTCTGGCTGGATGTACTCACATACCTTAGCGAGAAAGTTTATCCAGTAACGCTTCTTCTCGAAAGCATTCGCTAGTGCCTGTGCCTGAGCTTTTCAAAGCCCCAGGCTCGGAAGGTCGGTGCAGTGCTGAGCAGCCACCAAAGGCAGCACCTGGGGTTTCAAGGGCTATAAAGCCTCTGCCCAGCAGAGGATAAACAAGCAATGCAAATACAACGCGTCAGATTTAGATAAATAACGTGGGTTTTTCTCCCCCACAGTGTTGTTGATGTTGGCAGCAAGGCAGCCTTCGGGGGTCTTCTATTGCAATTTCCTCGAGGAAGGGCTCTAAATATTTCTGTAGATAGGGAGATTTTGGAAGGAGATGGACTGAATGAAAGGGGGAGCTGGCCAAGTTTCAGCTTTGATGGGAATGGCAGCCGTGATTTCCACGATAAGAACAGGTCACGCCGCTCCTCGCAGCCCCTCTTCTGTCTATTTTCGTGCCGGCACCAGTGCGTTACGCCACCCAACCTGGCATGGGATGAAGTAAAATGGGGGCTTGCTTTCTCCTTGCGTAATTTTCGTCACTGCCCAAAATGGCACAAATTTACTGGGCAGCTCATCTGGGGCTGCACCAGTGTCGCGACATGCTCTTTAGCGGGACAGAGACACATTTTACAGTCCGCCTCTTAATAAAAACTTGGCAGTTGTGTTAAATATTGTTTTCAGAACTACTACAGAGACACATTTTCACTTCTTTCAGAAATTTCCTCAACTGACAATTTTTTTTTTCTGCCCAGCCTTTCAGAGAAGCATGGCCAGGGTGGAGGCTGTTTTCAAATGAATATTCGGTTTATGCAAAAATCCTGGAAATGGGACTAAGAAAGTGCAAAGCTGAATTACCTGACAATGTGTTGACGGCCATAAAATCCTGCAGAGGTGCATATCCCATTTTCTAGACAAGAGAAGCAGTATTCTGTGGCAAAGCTCCCCGAGAACAATGAACACTCACCAGAGCAGAAATCAGCTGAAATCCAGTTTACACAGGTAACCAGACGCACACAAGAAATTATCATCAGATGCAGTTGAACAACAAAAAAAAACTGCTGGAGAAAATACTAATCCATTCTCAGCAAGGAAAAAGCTAGAGGGGTTTTTTCAGATTTTTTTTTTTTCTGAAAAAATGCCTGATCAAATTTCTAACAACAATATACAGGGTAATATCCCTGTTGTTCCCATAATTTGCTGTTCACGTGGGCGTTCTCTTGGTGGAGAATGTTTCCTCACTGTGAGAACAGGCAGTTTGGTGTCTGGAAATGACCATCTCAGCAGCGCGTGGGTGATAATCAAGGGGCACGGCTCCTACATGGTGTCCCAAGAAAAAGTTTCGGAACCTCTACGACAAAGTCTGCCCAAGTGAGAGACAGAGAGCAAAGAGCTGCAAAGAGCAGCACCAAGAAGCAAGCTTTGCTGGAGCGTGCATAAAAGGAAGAGGAGAGAACTTCACTTCAATTAAAAAATGAGGAAGACGGGACAGGAAAAGCATTTTTACTCCTACATGACAGTGGTAAAGGAGTCATAATGCACACGGTGACTTCCAGAGCGTGGTGACAGCTGTATAAACATCTGGATACAGCAAAAGAAGAACGGGATAAGAAAAGACAATTAAATGCTCAGTGGTTGGGTCTTGTGCATCTACCTGGTTCCGGGCCCCACGGGAATGGCTTCAATACCATTTCAGACTTTAACCTAAAAAGCACAAAAGGTTCAGGGACCAGAAGACACTGAAATGGTTGGTGGTCAGGAATACAATGTGAGAAAGGAAGTGAATGTGCAGTTTTGGCCTGAAGTGGATTTTTATGGCCAAAATCTTTCAAAAGCAGGATTTACTGCAGAAATGCTGATATTTCTTTGAGGAGCCGGTGTCTGGAAGCAACGCTGACGGAGCGCTTCTCGTGTGCATCCACAGAGAAGCCCGTAGGGGATTCTGATGTCAGCTTCCAAAGTCGTCGTAATGAATCTGAAGCCACTATGTCTGAGGGTCTGATTAGACGAGAAAGATTCATGAAAGATAAGAATGAAGCTCTTTTCCAATATTTTTCTAAGTCATTTTGCTTATTTTCACTGCGGTTAGCTTCACAGCATTGCGGAATAATTCAGCTGGAAGAGAGCTCAAGGCGTCTCTCATCCAACCTCCTGCTCAAAGCAAGGTCACCTACAGGGTCACACTAGGTTGCTCGTGGGTTTATCCATCCGGGACTTGAAAATCTCAACAACATCTCAAGGCAAGCGGTTCCAACGCTTGATCGTCCTCATGGTGGGAAAGTTTTCCCTGGTCGACTGCTTGAACCTCTCTGGTTCCAATTTGTGCCTTGTATGTCCCTCGCCCTCCCACCACAAAAAGAGCCTGCCCCCATCCTCCTGATGACTTCTGGCAGGGGTGGGCAGAGCACTACGAATTCCATCATGAGCTCTGCCTGCACCGGCCCCTGTCCCTCAGCCTCCCCGACCAGGGCAAGATCTTCAGCCCCCAAACATCGTGGTGGAGCCTGTCCCAATCCCTACTGGGACTTTACTCTGTCCCCACTGTGGCCATTCCATACCTGCCGTGTGCAGAGTAGGAGTAAGTGCTGAGAGCTCTGCTAGGGAGGGACATCCTGAGTAAAACCGTGCTGCCTTGGGAAGGCAGAGCTTTACTTTTCGGTCTGAATCTTCCCCAAACCAAACTCAGTTTCTGGAGACCTCCCAGGGCTTTGCAGGGCAGGGTTACTCGAAAGAAGTATCTGCTCTTCTAATGCAGGCAGGAGATCTTTTTTAAAAAATGCCATCAGCTGCCAATTGGAATGAGCACATTCCTTATGCACGTATAAATTACTGGAAAATTATGCCTACTTTCGTTTTCTTCACCTTGCATGAACAGGGACAAATTAAAAGACTTCAGAGAAGCGATAGAAGAATGATTACAAACTGATCTTTTATAGGATTGTTCATATCACAGGGAAACTAATGAATTGCATTCTCCTTCATTTGCCCAAGCAAAGATCAAGATGTGACATGATAAAGTCCACAAACAGATTTTCTGCAGTAGCAGGGAAGGGCATAATGTGATGCGCTATTTAGAGGCAGGCTAGAAAAAAACTCACATTTTAACAGTGCAGTTAAATTACCTGAGCAACAACTTAGGCATGTCGTGGGTTCTCCTTCACTTGACTTTTAAAAACCGGCTGTAGACATCTTTAGAAAAAGACGCAAAAGTAATACACATCAAAGAGAAAGCATTTCTTTGACATAAGCATTATTAGACTGGATTCTTTGACTACTGTTTTGCAGAAGGTCGAACCAGGTGATTGCAGCATCTCTGGTTTGGAATCGTGTGTGGTGGAACGCTGACATGGACGTGAGATCTTTAGCTTGAGAAAAGGAGTTCAAGGATTTAAAAGGTTATGTTTACTATCCTTTTCTGCAGAATGCACAATAAAGCCACAAGTATTAACCCAACCTCAAAATGAAAAATTATGAATCAAAACACCCATTGCTTCTTAAACATCCTCAATATAGAGGCACTAACTCCAAATTCCATTTACCCCTGAATAGAACCCACTGATTTAAGTGTCCGTGGAAATTATTTTCCATTCATTGTATTTTGCTTTCCTTGCAGAACTAGAAAGCAGCAAGCTTTAAGTACCTTGGGTACTGAATAAAAAGTAAAAACCCTCCAAACTCTTCCAAGATGAACTCAAGACACATAAAACCCAAAGCATTAAATCTTGCATTTGCTGAAACATAAAATCATCCACAAAAATTCAGTCCAGTCACAAGTGATCTCGATGATAATCAACTCCTCTTAACTTAGAAGAATGGAATGTGTGGGTGGCAAGCAGACGAAGATAAATGCAATTAACCTAAGGGAACAGAGATTCGTTCTCATTAATCATCACATTCGGTTTTGTCGAAAACCTGGAAAAGGACACGGCACCGAAAGCCACTTCTGATAATTTTCAAGCAAGAATTAGAGCTGGGATATTTTGGTTCACTGGAGAATCACCACTGCTAGCGAAAGATAAATGTGTTCAGAAGTTAATGTGGTGTAGGCTATTCTGAGCAAATTGCTTGTTTTAAAGAGGAATTCATTAAAATAAAAAATCAAACAAAACACCCAAACCTTCTTTTTACCCGAATCATTGCCCATGGGCACAACGTCTCTTCTGCAGCCCACAGGGATTACTGCAATTTCTTTGTGAGCTTCCAGAGTAGGGAGTGTGCTGCAATTCCCTGTGTCTGTCAAGTGGTTTTACTGAAGTGTGTGTGCGTGTGTGTGTGTGTGTGAGTGTGTGTGAGTGTGTGTGAGTGTGCAAGAGCTCGTGAAGCCAACTGTCAGCACAGGAGGTGACGCTGAAATGAGGCTCTCAGAGGTCAGCTTTTCCTAACAGGAGGCATACACTGTGGTTACCACAATTTCAAGTGCCTTTTTTCTGTTCTTGAATGGTCGTCATTTAAAATAAAAATAAAAATAGCACAACCAGCTTTTCCTGGCTCTGAGACCAACTGCTGAGTCAGGGCACGTACGTGAGCTCAAGCAGATGAGCAGGATTTGTAGGAATGCTCTTCCTGGGTGGCAGGAACAAACAATTCGGGATGATTTAACAGCACTTCTGGAAAACTGTGGTTGTATAAGAAATGCTTTGCAGTCAAAAGAATGCATGAGAAATGCTCAAACTTTCTCTGGGCTAATTGCCACTTTGGGTACATCCACCACGGTGCTTAAGCAGAACTGCCTCTCTCCTCACGAACTCAGCCTCCGAGCATAGCCCAGCTCCAAAAATCTTCCCGGCTCCAAAAATCCTCCCAGCTCCATCCCAAAAAAGCCTCGTGGATCTGGCATCCTAAGGCTTTATGGCACAATGCTTTCCTAAGTCTGGAGGATAAATGGCATCTTGCAACACGGCATCCAAAAAATGCAACAAAACCCAACATTAACCGAAAACAAAAGACAATAATAGAAAAAGAATTTGCCTCTGAATTCCTTCTTTAAGAAGAATTTGGTTGCTAAAGAGCATTGCTGAGAGGGAGAAATTACTTTCTTCCAAAAGTATTTGAGATTTCAAAGGGTCTGTCCCACTGGGGAATGAAAAGATGTTTTACAGCCTTTACGTTTCTTACCAGCCTGAGGAGAGCTCTGAATCCTCTTTCTTGTCTCAGATCCTATAAACCTCCAAAAACCCTGGAGTGTCTCCCCCTCCTGTACAACTTCTCCCGGCTGCCCCAGCTCTGCATCACCAATATGAAAGTGAATTTGTCATTTGTTATTCCACTGAGCACTATCTCCCACATTCCTTCACCTCAGCTTTCATATTAACCATTCAATACTTGATTTCCATGGACTTCTAAAGGCAAATCCTGATATTCACAATATGCCTTTCTTACAAATTTCTTCTTAAACTGAGACATAAAAAGGATGGCTCATGAAAAGGACATTTCTGTGCCCAGTTCCTCCTGCTCCTGACCAAACTCAGAGGCGTCCTGGAACTCAGCCCTGGCTCTAAAACACAGGGTGAAAGGTCATTTCGGAGAAGCTGACATTTATTAAAGCCTTCTCCCTCCTCTCCTGGGCTGTGGCAGGAGAGCCAGCCCGGTGCCTGGGCAGCAAGAAGGACGTTCTTCCAAATGTCCAGGCACCCTCTCTGGTACTCAAGAAAAGGCAAGCAAAGCCTCCAGTTACTGCATGTGCTGAGAAGGCTCTATTTACATTTGTTTCCATTGGGCTTTAGCAGATGTCACACAGATTCAAGCCAGATAAAAGGTAAACTGAAAATAAACCCACCCTACCCTATTTGTTTTTCTCCTCTCAGAAGAGGCAGGAACCACGAGGAGCGATGTGACCGTCTCCCTCAACTCTGCTGAGACACCGCAACACCGAATCTACAACCTACAGCACTGTGGCGTCATTTTTCACCCGATGAGGAAGCGAGAGGCGGCACATCCCACCCCCTAATGCTCCCCCTTCCCAAGCGTCAGGCAGGGTTTGTGGTTCATGCCACTTGAGACGTGAGTTTGAGCGCTCTCCAAACAGACTCGAGAGCCTCTGGTCGGTGGGACAGAGATGGTCCCTGCTGTCATAGCCTCTTGTACCAACCCGCGAGCACTGAAGAGCTCCCTGGGAAATGCTGCCTGCTGTCATAGAGTCACAGAGTCAAAAGACCTCTAAGATCATCAAGTCCAACCATCAACCCAACACTGCCATGATCACTAAACTTCGGTGCCACAGCGACACGTTTTTCCAAACACCTCCAGGGATGGAGACTCCACCACTGCCCTGGGCAGCCTGTTCCAGTGTGTCACCACTCTTTCAGTACAGAAATTTTTCCTAAAATCCCATCTAAATCTCCCCTAGTGCAGCTTGGGGCCATTTCCTCTTGTCCTACTGCTAGTAACTTGGGAGAAGAGACCAGCATCCACCTCGTAGCCTTTTATCGCTGTTTGCCTTGATTTCAGACCCATTTGAAAATCTCAACTCCTTTTCCTTGTAGCTTGACATACATCTATCACTGACGTGAGGGACAAACCACAGCAAGACCATGGTACTGGGATGAAACTTCAGCTCGAAGGGTGATTTCTTTTATGGTTGGTGAGTCCCATGAGAGTGGTGGAACGAGGAAGATGTTTGAACACCCGTGAAATGAGCATGGGCAGCAGGGGCCATGGCACTCTTGCAAGACTTACTAAATTCAGGGTTGATGAAATTATAAAGAGATGCTAGCTGCTAAAATAAATAGCTGAAACAGCCAATTATTCAAAGGCTTGGCCAAAAACATTCCAAAATTCTTGGCCAGAATTGTGCAGATTTTTTACAGAGTGGCAAAAACCATCCAAGGAAGAAAGCCATTTCTCTGGATTTCGGTGCACTGATCTAAAACACATGGATGTTAGAACACTTCAAAAAATAAAAAAATAAAAAAAGTCACCAGGATCTTTTACCTGGGAAAAAAGATGTGTTTTCCACTCACTCCACCTTCTAATATGGCTGAAGTATTAGGGCTGATTTTAAGCATTGCCTTGTTCTAAGAAGATGCATCCTATGGATTTGATTGTATTTAAGCAGCTAATTCTGAGAACCTAGAAGAGGTGGATTGGGCGTGGTGCCCATGCCAACGTCCCCTGACCTGTGGCACCTCCAAAGGACCTGGGACATGGTCCAGCAGGTGCAAGTGTCTTGTCTGGACACTGCGAGATGGGTGCAGATCACTCCCACTCCCCAGGGGCTGGCAGCTACACAGATTTGTGAGTCTCGGTTACTTTTGGATTGTAACGTTCTAAGCACACCTCACGTCGGGTTTGTGCTTGATCATCTCTCGTCGGAGATGCTGGGAAGAGAGGAGTTTGATGGGGAAGCCCAATTAAAACAGCCCCTGCCCGTGCTATGCTGGAGAGTTTGCTTCCCCTTTTCCCCAACCCCTGCGACCCTCAGCAGGGACACAGCCGAGCCCGCCAGCGAGGGGGGAAGACCCTTACCCGTTGCCTTTTCAGGGTTATTGCACATGAAGCACTGCCAGGCTCCCGCTTCCTCGCTGTAGCCGAATAAATCGAAGAACCTCACTTCTTCCAGGTGCATCTGCACGTGGTCCAAGTCCTATGGAGAAAAGGTCCTATCGTGAGGAAAACCCAAACTCGCTCACAAGGGGAACCGCCGTGCGCTTCACAGCTCATAACCCGAAGGCACGGACAGATGGGTAGCGGGTGCTGGCTGGTGTCCTCCTGTCCAAACAGATCCCCCATCAGAGCGGGAGTCGGTTAGCTGGGGACAGCTTTATTTTAATTTATTTGTTATACTCTTTCTTTATCTGTTTATTTAAAAGAAAGAGTAGAGGCTCTGAACCCTCGCGAGAAGCACCAAGACAAATGTTTAGTGGGAAAGTTAATAGGAACCTTTCCAAAAACGCAGCAGAACGACGGGACTGATGTAGCTCACACAGAACCCACCCAGGTGAACGTGACATTTTTCTGCCAGGGAAGTAAGAACTATGCATCTGCAAAGTAAACAGTGTCTGACTTGATCAAAGCAACCTACAGAGAGCGTGCTTGCAGCTCCAAGTGTGGGAAAAGCCAGAGGATAATCCTTCTGAAGTAATTAATAACACTGTATAATTCAGTGTATTTAACCCCCCGTTATTTAATTTCAGAGCAGTTTGCCAGCTCGCAGTTAAACAAATGTTGGTGTTAAATAGCAGCAACCAAGTCGCTCACTGCAAACACAAAGGGACTTGCCAGGACCACTCGGAAAACACAATTTATTTGTGCGAGGTTTTCACGGATCTGCAGCGCTGCACGCTGCAGCCCAAAGAAAACACGGATTTACGCAGTCGGTGGGGAAAATACCCTCCCTTCCCAGGGACACCAGTTCATCGCACTGAACAAGGCTGTGGACAGAGTTGTCCCATTTAGGACCTCGAAAGATCACCTAGTCCAGCCCCGGAGTGGGGAGCACAACTCGCATCACCTGAGAAGCTCCGAGCGACAAAGGTTTTTCTTCCCTTTCCAGCAGGAACACGCTGAGAAATGGGCTTCACAACACACGTGAAAGCAATGGTCCCACCATGAAGGTCTCAGACACATGTTGGCTTTGTTTGCGAGAGGGCAGCAGCCCCTCAGCCCAACTCTTCTCTCCATCCTGGCGTGGGAGATGGTCCCCTGCCCTCCCTGGCTGCCTTGATGGGCTCCCTCTGCAATTCCTCAGAGAATCACAGAATGGTTTGGGCTGGAAGACTCCTCATAACTCATCTCATTCCAACCCCCTGCCCTGGGCAGGGGCACCTCCCACCAGAGCAGGTTGTCTCCTGATGCCTCCTGTTTGCCCCAGCACGCTCAAAACTGCTTTATACAACTTTTTTTTGCTCTGTAATCACTCCTTATACATTCCTGAAGTTCCTGTTTTCCTCCAAAGGGGAATCCTGTACATTCAAGGAATTTAACTGTGCAGGGGCCAGATGGGCAAAATAACGACAATCCTGCTCTCATGGGGTCCGTGCAAGACATTATAAGGGCACAACGAGGACTGAACAGAAACCCTAGGAGCTTCTCCATCCTGCGAAAAAAAGACCTTTCAGTGGCTGCATGAGCCAACTCTAGACTGAAAGGGGACAAATATCATGGAAATACCAACGCGACAATCGTTCTTTTCCACTCTGTGCTCTAGTACGCTTGAAATAACCTGCAAAAAGCCATTTATTTCAGGAGGGGAAGCATGGCGAGAAAGCCTAATTGGAGAGGAGAGGTTTATCTTGTCCCCGTGCTCCATCGTCTTGAAAATTTCAGCGACTCCACTGTGAAAACGCGGAGCTCCTTTGTGCTGCGTAAAACTGAGATGGCAAAAACAAAGGCGAGGGTAGAACAGAACTTAAAAATGTTAATTATTCTCTCGCAGGGCTGCTCAACAAAAGACTCTCTCAAGGCATTGCATGGGGCTCGTAAAGTAGTCACCATCTCACTCTTCTGACGCAGCAGGAGCCAACACAAAGAATTCAGCAACAAGCTCAGAACGGGCTTAGTTTTTGTAACGTGGCCCGTGCAGACTTTGATAAAGAACTATGAAGCAACGGAACGGAAATCTGCAAGGATGTACATCTGGAAACGCTTTACTTCTGGCACACCATAAGCCATGCTGTATAAATATTTTCTGTGGCACGATCGGGGCTGCCCAGTGAAACACGACATGAGCCAGGTATTCGCTGCCATTCCTTGCACGCGCACCCTGGGCCAAAACTCCAGAATCGCTTACGGTGATATAAATCTGAAACAATTTCTCAGAATTTGCTCCGGAACAAATCGTTGAGGCAACAGATTTTTTTTTTCCTTCACGTTTGTAAAACTCTTTAGGATACATATTGAAAAAAAAAAAGGTCTAAATTCCTCAGTTTGAATAAAATACTCAGATATTGCTGCCACACCATGCATAAAACTCGATATAAATTATAATACAAGCTGCTGACACTGAGTTTATATCAAAAATATTTTAAATTGGAAGTGTTATGCTTACTGAAACAACCACTCCCCCACAATTTTTCTTCCTGGCAGAGGAATAGTATTAACAACTACAATAATTTTTTTGAGTTGTTCACAATATTTGAAGTTCTATTAGCAATGGGAAGAATTTCTGCAACAAAAAAAATCACATTACTGCCAAAGCTTAGTCTGTCAAGCAACGTAAGGACTTGGTCATGATAGGAGTGCTCCGGCTAGGTTTTTGGGGAATATAAAAGCTAAAGGAAATCCTTCTTTATGGCAGGCCTAGGTCTGGCTCCCAGAAAACTTGATGAGGCTTTTCTCAGAAAACCAAATGGAAATTGCACTAAAAACAACTCCAGATTCTGTATTAATAAGCAAAACCAAACTGGGGAGAGTTAATCCAGCTGCATACTGCAGAGACTAGGGCTGAATATTCAAGTCTTTTACCATCTCAGATGCCTTACATCTGCCTGGCTGCCTTCAGCCCCCGCAGGCTGTTGGGCAACCCGCAGCTCCCCGAGTTTCCAAACTTCAGTTCACTGCTTAACTCGTTAAACCAGTGAAGATCACTATCTCAATTTCCAGCTCGGCTATTTTTGGGATCTCGGAGATACTGTCACGAAGTGACGGAAGATCCCCAAATAGGTCAAACGTATCTGAGCAGTAGTAGGATTACGCAACTGATGCAACTGAAGACTAATCGCTTTTCTAGGGCGCTGGATGGGTTTTGTAGACTTGGTGTGCATGATGCACTCCGTCTAATCCCACCCATGAAGGCAAGCTCTTCCCTAAGCTCTTTATTCACCCCAAACTCTTTCACACTCCACCAGCTCCAATGTTCGACGAGTAGATCTTGGCCCGGACACAAGTTAAGCCAGTATTGAAGGGAGAAGCGGTTCTAATGCCTTCGGATGAGTCAGGCTAAGATTTCAATAGCAGCTAAAAGACTTAGCGCAAGCTCCGCTGTGTCGAAGTAAAACTGGTCCACGAGCTGGATCTCAGCTGTGGGGATCCTGTACTCCTCCTATGAGCCGCAGCAGGAGCTTCCACTTCAATGCAACGTTATCTTGGGGGTTCAGAAGGTGCTCCTAACAAAACTCCCGCGTTTAAATCAGCCGTAGCCGTGGCAAATTAATCTCATTCGGTCAGACATCTCCACACGCGCAATATTCCGGGAGAGGATGTTTGAAAATCGTGTTTGACAATTCGCTTCATCCAATCGAGCGGGATGGAGATGTTGAGGAATAAACAGATACTTGTTTTACAGTCCTGAAGCACCCTTTTACAAGAATTCTGAATAATTGCTTTGAAATAACATTGCTGAAATCCTGCAGACAGTAAACAGCTCTGAAAGAGTAATCTTTTCAACCAGCGCGAGTAACTAATGGCGCATGTGCCAATGATCATTTCCATTAAATCTACGTCTGCATTTAACTAGGTGAGTTTCCAAGTGGGTGCCAAATGGTCCATAGTGCAGCTAATCTGGATCTCGAGCTTGAAGCTACAAGCAGGTGAAAAAAGTATAAATCCATATGTAGCATCACTAGTGAGCTTGTTTATCATGATTTGAGCACAGCAAACACCTGCTGTAGCTTGTTATAAAGGTCTTTGTGCACCTCTTCTAAAAGAAAGGGCAAAGTTCTACTTTTTTTTTTTTTTCCTGAGGGAAAAAACCAAAACAACTTACCTTTTGGTGTGGAAATGTGGACTGGATCATGGCAGTTTCAAAACTGTGTGTCCCCTTGAGCTGCGTCTTCTCCCACAGGGCCTTAAGGACTTGCACGGAATTACTGTGTATGGACAAAGGTTCTGCAAACAGGCTCTGAAGAAAATGTTGAAAACAGGATTTCAAGCATTTTTTTAACTTGCTGACAAGGAGAATCTTGTTTTTACAGTGGGACAGCCATGGAGCAGCCAGGGATAAGTTCATTTCCCTGTACAGAGTTACGCTGGATCAATATGCACACAATTAGATAAACCCTCAAATATTGCATTTCCTTTAGGGCTTTCCTTGCTGTATGTTACAAGTGTCTAAATATCTGCGGCTCCGCAAAGATTATCTATCAACCAGCACGACACACAGCAGCTTACATGCCATTTCGGCGTGGGAATGCAAGTTTATTGAAACGCACATGGCAGCACTGGCCTCTGCGAACCAGGTGTAGACCTCAGGGACACACATCTGTTTGAAAAAGATGTTATTTTATCATTTAATGCAAAGAGATGCTTAGCACCGTTATGGGCTTGTCCATTTTTATTTGGAGCCGAGTGTCCTTGTGCAGGGAAGGGTAAGGGCACAACGTGTGCGACTGCCCTGAGCTGTGGGATGAAACACAAGGGGAAACATTCTAGAGTGCACGTTCAGCACCGATTTTGCTGGCAGAGGACAGGAATTTTCATGTCCTCAACATTCAGAAAGCAAGATGAAACCTGGGTTGGGTGCTCTTAAATGCAAAGCTCCCAGTTGCGAAGGACAGCGAGGACACAACCTCACCCTGCCCTGAATTATCCTGGAATTTCAACAGCATTGACTTCTCCGCGGTACGAACCGCACACAAAGTCAACATAAGAACATGGCTGCAGCCGAGAGAGCTGAGCGCTGCTGCCACGTATCTGCTGCGTGATCTGGTAAATAAAAAATGCATTTGCGTGAAGAAGCCAAACTAAGAGCGCACAAGCAGATCCCAATTTCCGTATTTCAGGAATTTGATTTTGCAACACGAGCGATGTCCTTTTAACGGAGGTTTCCTGGCTGGATGTTCCTCCTTTTTCTCAGCAGAAGCTCAACAGCTAATCCCACTGTCTGGCACCCAGCTGACACAGACACAGTTC